AGCGTGTGGGAGCTCTTTCACGATGCGGTCCTGCAGGAAGGGCCCGATTCCGTCGGCCCCGCGGGTGGTCAAGGCCGAGGCGTAGGCATGCTTCTGCGCAAGGCCAGGCTGCTCGTTGGCGACCGCCGCCCGCGCGGCCTCGATCGCTGGCGCCACCAGCTGGTGGGGGTAGTACACGTGGTCAGAGGTGGCTGTCGCGATCTGGTGCATCGTCTCTACGAAGGCCTGCGTCTGCCACCACGGCGGTGAGAGATGGAGGGCACCCCGCGCGGCACCCTCGAGGGTCTGCTGGAGGCCGTAGGAGTTCAAACCTACGCGCAGTCTCTCACGGATCTCGGTGAACTTCTTGAACGTCGAGGTCACCGCGCGGACGATTGTCGCTAGCATGCTGAGCTGGAGCGACCTCGGCGCGGGGACCCCCCAGTCCTTCAGGAAGGACCAGTCCTTCAACCTGAATGCGCCGTTCGGGAAACGCAGGATGGAGGCGTTGATCCAGCTCTCATGCTTGAAGTGTTCGTGCGGGGGCAAGGCGTGCTGGGCAAGGTAGCCGAGGACGGGGGGCGCGCGCCCGTTGCACAGGGCGACTGTCCCGACGGCTGGCGCATCACCTGCGCTGCGCGCCCCGACTCGGGAGCGGTACTTGTTGAAGGCCTTCGCGTTAATGAGCTGGTCCGTGGCACCAGGGCTCAGCAAGAGGCCGAGGTAGGTGAGGCGGTCGCATATGTTGAAGTCCTTGAACTTCGGGACGATGTCGAGCAGCGCATTCTTGAGCTTGAGGGTGAGGTCGGCGTTGACCTGGCCTGCCAAGGGGATGATGTGGCACTTCGGCGCCTTCAATTCCAGACCAGCCAGGATTTCCATGCAGAGCATGACGTCGGCGAGGTAGACCAGGTAGGCGGCGGCCCGAAGGACGAGCCCGAGGTCATCAGCGCATGCGCGGCAGAGTCCACGGCCTTGGGCTTCGAGGACGGTCTCGAGGTTGAGGAGGAAGCTTGCAGTGCCCAGTGCGTACAGCGTGCCGCTCCAGCCGCATCCTTGGATGATGCCCGACCTGATATAGAAGAGCGGGACGCACTGGCCAGCGCACGGGGCCATCGCGAGGATGTTGTTGCACATGGAGTCGAAGAACATGAGGATCGCTTCGGGAGCGCCCATGGCCTTGAGCGCCAGACGGATGAACTGGCGGGCGAAGCTGGGGAAGGCCTGCGCGATGTCCAGCGACACGAGCACTGGCAGCATGTCCTGGGCGTCTGGGTCGGCCAAGGCAATGCGGCTCTCGGCGTCAAGCTCGAGGATGTTGTATGCGAAGTTACGCCGATGGATGAACCCACGCTGTGAGGCTGGGACCACCTCGGCTGCCAACACTGCCGTCGCAGCATTCATCGTGCTGCTGATTATCTTGAGGGACGTGTTGCGCAATCCTAGGACACGGACTTTGGGCGGGTCTCGATGGCAGCCGTGATGTTCCGAGTCCTCTGGTTCCTCACCTTTGGGCAAGGAAGCTTGGACGGTCGCGTTCACTTCGTCGGGGAGGATCCCGCCGTTGAGCATGTAGCACATGACATCCCAGAGAACCTCGGTGCACTTCTCGTGCGCGGACCAGGCAAGATACGGCAGTCCGTCAAGGCCTGGCGAAGTGGAGGACGAGCGCCTGGCAAACTTCTTGAGCGTCTCATAGTCTGGCGGCCTGTACTTGGAGAAATCGATGGTGGGCGAGAACTGGTTCAGGTAGACGGCGGCCTTGGTCACGTCGACGGTCTTGCCCGCGAAGACCGGCTGCCAGTGCTCAACAAGCTTCTTGAGCCGCTCGTTGGGGCCCGTCACGGTGCCCTCGCTGGTCTTGACTCCCGTCAGGATCAGGCGCTTGCTGAGTGGGTTCCAGAGCTGGAGCTTCCTTTGCAGGGCTTGAGTTTGTCCGCGTGCTTGAGCGGGTCGGAGGCGCCCACGTTGAACTGCTTGGCCAATAGCTGCTTGACGCTGTTCAGCGTCTTGGCGGAAGAGGTTGCTTGCCCACTCCTCGAACTTTGCATGATCGATGAGCCCGACGCTGACACCATTGATCTGGGTGTGTTCTTGTGCAACTAGGTGCGAGCGAAGGAGGCGAGCAGCGAGTTGTCGGTCTTGGCGCCAAACCGCACGTGAGATCGACTTCGCTACCTGAAGGAGCACGTCGCCTCTGCTCGGATGCATTTCATGCAGACGGTCACGAGCTTCACGTGCAATTTGTCTGAGAAGATCGGTGGTCTGAATCAGCTTGGTCGGCGGGGACAGGTTGCCCATGGGGGAGGCGGCAAACACCTTGTCGGCAATCTCTTTGAAGACGGGGGACTTGACGATGTACTGGGCGATCGGCTGGTTCGGCGAGGGTTTGGCGTCGCGCATCGTGAAGGAGACGAAGAGGGCGGCATGGTCACTAACACGACGGCGTGAGAGGTCTTCAGGCGCGGAGAAGGTGGAGGACGTGACAGCCAGCTGCAGCATCTGAGTGGGAGTGAACGAGCAGAAGCATCTGTCGATGGTGGCATCGGCCTTCGTCTCGGAGCAGTAGTGCGTGGTGTCGGCGCGGTCGATCTCCACTAGGTGCTTCAGGGCGTTGTGCCACTTGCGCGCCGATGCTTTGGACGTTTCAGTTGGGTTCGAGTTGCCCTTTGCCACAGGGTCCAGTAGCTTCAGCTTCCCTACGGCGGAGAAGTTGAAATCCCCAGTGACGAACAGGACAACGCGGCTCGGGTCGGACCTCGCCCACTGCAGGTCGCTGTTGATGCGCGTGGTGATGTTCTGGATGGTGGCGTTGCTGAGGTCGTAGTTGTGGATATTGTAGAGGATCATCACTTGGTCGCCAGCACGGAAGACAGAGCGTAGAACACGGCCAGGAAAGACGGGGTCGCTCACAGCGTTCATCCCAGCAGGGAACACAGTGGCAACCCCGCCACTGATAGTGCCATGATGTCCAGGAGCAAAGGAGGAGTGCATGTCAAGGGTGCTGTCGATCTTCCGCATGAAGGCAAGGAGCTGGCCGTGGTTCTGGTGGACCTCCTGGATGCCCAAGACCATCTTGCTCAGCGACATGGACTTGAGGTACGCGGACTTCTCCACGACGCGTCTGCCCTGGTAGCCCAGGAGAGCGCGAGCATTCCATGTGCCGACAGCCAGGCAGGGCGTCGGCCCACAGGCCAGGCGGTTCTGGCTGCGCGCCAGCTCGTCAAAGCCAAAATTGCGGGGCGGCTTCAGGTGCAACAACCACGTTGGCGGCGTTCTTGAGGGTCGTGCGGTCGATGCCCAGCGCGGGAAGGCCGGTGTCCTGGAACGTGAGGATGGTCGGCTCGTCCCTGCCTGGGCGGACGCTGTACGCGATGACGGGGGCCCAGCCTGCAGTGATCCAAGCCTTGGAGCGGTCCACGCGCCAGACATGGTTCGGGAACTCGCGTTCCATGGCCTGGCGGAGGCGCTTCCCCACGATCTCCGTCTTGATCTGCTTCGGCGACTTGTCGGGGCCCATCCGCAGCTCGACCGTCCCGTGGCCCGAGACAGCATCGGCGTAGATGCGCACCCAGGTGCCGCTGGTCGAGCGCATGCTGTCCAGGACTTTCTGCACACGGCGGCTGGCGGGGCCAGGGAGGCCCGTGAACTTGATGGTGAAAAATTTGGCGGTGTCGTTGCCAGTGACAGTGAAGTCAGTCTCGCGGATGTCGCAGCCCACCGCGAGCTTGGTGAGGGACTCGGTGGCCTTGGCCAGGGTGACCAGGCCGTCCGCGTGGACCTCGATGATCGTGGCGTCGATTTCGCGATCGAAGTCGCGGCTGATGAACTGCTGTTTGATCGGTTGCACGTTGGCTGTGGCAAGCTCGCGTTGCAATACTTTGACCTGCTCCGCCATGAGCTCGATTGCTTTGTCGGTCTTCTCCTGTTTGGCTTCCACTTCGCCGACGCGTATGTTGAAGGCGTCGAGCTGTTGCTGGACGTGCTTCCTCGTGGCGTCGATCTGCTGGCCGACGGCGAGGTGGACGTTCTTCTCGATCTTGGCGCCCAACCCGTCAATGCCGTCCTGGGCGGCCTTGAGCGCCAACGAGATGGGATTGGTGGCGGAGCTGACCACGGTGGTGACGGTCGAATTGATGGACTCTTTGATTGAGGTCTCCATCGCGTCGATCTTCGACTGGAGGGACTGCACGTAGGCCATGGTGGCGTATGCGTCCAAATCAACTTCATCTCCCTGCGGTGGTGAACGGGAGCGGTCAGCCCTGCCGCCAGGATCGCCACCAGGCTCGCCAGGAGGAGGACGCTTCGAGATCCCTTTGCAGCGCAGTGGCATCGCAGCGGGCGAGCCTCCTTGCTCCGACATGGCGAGGAAGAAGTCTGGGACGCTCGCTCACACAGGAACGGGAAAGGCCTCCGTTTACCCGTGACGGCGGACGTCGGTGCGGGTGAAGTCTGCCAGGCCACAGGTGGCCTTGCCTGCCGCGGACTAGCGGTGTCCGCTTGTTCCCCTGATGGACTCACCATCTTGAGCCAAAATGGCTACGGAAGGAGGAGAAGGAGGAGGGGGAGGAGGAGGAGGAGGAGGAGGAGGAGGAGGAAGAGGAGGAGGGGGACCAGGAGGAGGAGGGGGAGGAGGAGGAGGAGGAGGCGGAGGAGGAGGAGGAGGAGGAGGAGGAGGAGGAGGCCAGTATCAATGACACGCCGCCGTGGGGAACACATCGGCGTGTGTCTGCTGAAGGAGCACTAGGCTCTCGGGTAAAAGCGAAGGAGCGCCACGCTACAGCGGGCTGCCAGCGGCAGGATGTCCTTGATGCGACCTCTCTCTCCCTCCCGAACTTTGGTTGTTTATCCAATCTTCGAAGACGCATCTCAAAACAAGCGGAACAAATATTTGGTAATATTTCCAACTTCGGTTGTTTCCCAACTTTCGAACATGCATCCCAAACGCGGCGAAAACGTAGGGCGGAAACTTCCGCCTCAGCACAGCAGGGCCGATGATTCTGCAAAGGCATGGCGCCTGGCGGAAACGGCGACAGCAAGGCAGGGCTGAAATCGGCACCAGAGGAGCTTGCAAGGCAGGGCGAACATTTCCGCCCTGCTTGCGAGATTGCCCAGCACACGGCGGACCCAGAGTCAGGGCTGGCGAGCACGGCGGCGAGCGACTCCACGCGCGCCCTGGCGGAGGCCGCGCGCAGCCCTCCCTCCGCGAGGGCCACCGGGGACCAGCCGCCGCGCATGCCCGGCAGCTGCTCGTGGACGGGGGTGATCTGCCCGGAGAGCAGCTCGTCCTGCACGGCCTCCTCCAGAAGAAGAGGAGGAAGCGCCATGAACATAAACCGTTGGCGCTCCGCACGGATTCCTTCGATCCGCGCTGGACCCCCCTCCTCGGCGCGCCTCTCCGGCGCCGGGGCGCGCCCGCGCAGATGCGAGAGGTCCGTGCGGGGCGCGAGAAGTTTCTGCTCGTGGCGCTCTTGCTCCTCCCGTCCTCGCCACCCGGGTCGAGCAGCCAGAGGCCCCGAGAGCCGCGCTCGAGCTGCTGCAGCCGCCGCGCCAGCCCGTCGTGCCGTGCCCCGCCCTGCTGCGCCAGCAGCTCGTGCTTCTCCTCCAGGCCTCGGCTGCGTGCCGCCTGCCCCTCGGCCAGCCTCTCCAGCTGATCGATCCGGCCGGCCCACCTCTGCCGGACGGCGTCGTCGATCCTGCTGGAGTACTCCTGGTGGCTCTCCAGCTTGGAGCGCATGGCCGCCAGGACCGTCTCGAGGTGGCAGAGCCTCGAGCCCCAGCCGCCCTCGCCGCCGGAGGCGGCCTGGAGGCGGCCAATCTGCCGGCCCTGGTCCTGCAGCTGCGACTCCAGGTGGGCCAGCCTGCTGCCCAGAGAGCCCTCCGCCCTCTTCGACCGGGAGTCGCTCGCCTCCGATAGAGGAACGGACAAGAGCGGCACGAACATAAACGTTCGGCTGCTCGCGCGGGCTTCTTTCATCGGCGCTGGACCCCCCCTCCCTGGCGCGCGGAGCGCGCGAGGGGCGGCGCCAGAGGTGCCGCCAAGGGGGCCCAGCGGCGATCCGAGACATCCGCGGAGACCTCTGACAGTCCATGTTCACGCAGCTTCTTGCTGTTCTCGAGCATCGTTTAACCGATCCCCATCCCCAGCGGCGTGGCCTGGGCCCCACTGGCCGATTTACCCCCCTAGATGGGGATGTAGGCCGTTCCCTTCGGGTTTCGAGGGGTGTATCCCCAAATGGGGGGGTCATTTGGTGGGGGTCCCGAAGGGGATGGGGATGGGGATCGGACAAACGATACCGAGTTCTCGAGCTGGCCTCGAGGGAGGCCATGCGGTCCTGGAGGTCCACCACCGCCCTGGTGCTCGCGGCCTCGACGCCGCGCAGCCTCTCCTGCTCGCCCGCCAGCGCCTCCGCCAGCGCCAGGCTGTGGCTGGCCTGCTCCTGGACCGCGGCGTGCTCCCGCCGCAGCCTCTCGCCGAGCTCGGCCTGCCCATCCTCGCTCGCCGCGGCGGCCGCCTCGATCTTGGAGGCAGGAGCGCCAGGTTTCGCCCCCAACCCTCGAGGATCGGGGAGGGATTTCTAACGTTTTCGGATGGTTATTGGACAGTTTTGGCCCTTGTCGGGCCTCTGGGGACCTCTGGGGACCTCAGGGGTTCAGGATCCGGGGCGGAAGCTGTCCCTCGAGCGCGCCTCGAGGTCCGAGGCGCCGCGCTGGAAGCGCTCCTCGACCTGACTGCAGAGGGCCTCCAGCTTCCCGTCCACGGAGGCCGCCCAGCGGGAGCACTGGGCCGCGCTCTCGCCGAGGCCCTGAACCTGCACGGTTTCCCCCGGGGCCGTAGGCGACCCGAGAAGGAGGAGGAGGAGGAGGAGGAGGAGGAGGAGGAAGAAGAGGAGGAGGAGGAGGAGGAGGAGGAGGCGGAGGAGGAAGGAGGAGGAGAGGGGGTGGAGGAGGAGGGGAGAGGAGGAGGAGGAGGAGGAGGAGGAGGAGGAGGGAGGCGGTAGGAGGAGGGAGGAGGAGGAGGGAGGAGGGAGGAGGAGGGAGGAGGGAGGAGGAGGAGGAGGAGGATGAGGAGGTCGAGCGTGCCCAAAGGGGTCCATCCATGAGTGCCCACGCCTCACCTATGGGCCCAAAACCGTACAGTGGGTCCCTGGAGGGGCAAATGAATCGCAGCTCGAATCGTCGAGGCTCGCACCCGCGCACTGCCAAACTGAGACGCAAGACGATGCGCATAGAAGAAGGCGACCACAAAACAAAAATTGAATCTGCAGTCAGTGACGTCCTCACTCGGACCTGGGGCGAACTCGACTGGAAACACACCAAAACGAACAAGCGTATCAGCGGGGACGTCCCTCGAAAGCACGGCGCGGACCAGGGCCTCCAGAGGCCTACAAGCCAACAGGTAGTGCGACACAGAGTCATCGGCGGCACAACCGAAAATACACCCGCGCTCAGAGCGCTGCATTCTCCTAGAGGTCGTCCATCCGCCTAGCCAGCTCTTGAGACAAGCCGAGGCCCAGGCCAGAGGAAGCGCCTTCAGTCCCTCCCGAATCCCCCCCCCAGTCCACCAGGCCCACTCCCCCCCGCGGAAGAAACCATTTCGACGCCCGACGATCGAACGTCGGAACAATGGCGGAACTGAAGAGGCGCTCCTGGAAGATGGCCGAGAAGCGTGCCTGCCAGCGGGGGCGGGCGCATGCACGAGCAACCTGCTCGCCATCAGGTGTCGTTCCTTGTCTGAACAAGACGCAGCACTCAGCACCTGCACTGGCCAGGAGCGGATCCTTGGGAAATCCTGCGGCGGACTGGCTGAGAGAGTAGACAATGGCAGGAGACTTCCAGAAGGGAGGGGCAAGAGAGGGGGAGTAACGCCAAGCCACGGACCCGAATTCAAGTGTAGCATGCTGAAGCTGCGCGAGCTGAGCGTGCCACGAAGGGGTCGAGACGAGTGCCGCTCTCATCAGCGAGGCGCAGCCGAGGACCCACCTCGATGGAAAGTCAGGCCCGCCCCACCTCCCAAGGCTCACCCACCCGTCCCAAGTCAGAATCGAGCTGGCCGTCCTCCAGAGCGACGCAAAACGGTGCCTCTCCTCGATGGCCAGCGACCGAGAGAGGGGGAAGAGCTGCGCCTTATACGAGAGAACAGGGAGCGCCCGCGTCTTAAAGTAAAAGACGTTCGTGCCAAGATCGGCCGAGGAATCACTGGCTGCACGCACTCTGGAACGAAGTTTGGCCCACGGAGCTTCCCACTGGTCATCCAGCGTCACCGAGGGGCCCATAAGTGTGCCTAGATACTCTAAGCCCGGGACAATCGCAAACCCCCTCCATTCAGGCACGGCACGGGCGATGAATGCACGCGCACGTTGCTCAACGCTGGTGTCAAATGACCCGAACAGTGGCACAACCTTACATTTGGCGACTTTGAGGACGAGAGAGGCGAGGCGGGAGGCAAGCGAGGGAATACGCGCTAGACGACGGAGACCTGTGGCCGTGAATACCACCGAACCTACATCATCTGCACACGCGCGCGAGAAGGCATGCTTCGTGCCCTCGGTTGTGCGCTCCATGTCCCACAAGAATGGGTTCGAGGCGAGCGCAAAGAGTGACCCGCCAAGGGGGCAGCCCTGCAAGACTCCAGCGAAGGCGAAAAAGAGCGGAAGATGGACGCCCCCCTCATGGAAGACGCAGAGATTCAGATGGCACAGGCATTGAATGGCAAGGGTCAGCCCAGGAGGGAGCTGGAGAGACCGCAAGGCCGAGAGGAGCCAATACTGGGAGACGCTGGGAAAGGCCTGCGCATAATCAAAAGAGATCAAGAGGGGGAGCCAATCCTCGGGGGCATTTCCACGCTGGGGGGAGTCCCTCATGACAGAACCGACCCGAGCAAACGCGTCCAACTCAAACGCGTTCTTCAAGAAGGACCTCCCCCGCATAAAGCCATTCTGCATACGCGGGCTGACCTTTTGCACGATCGATGTGAGAGGCCAGTTAATTGCCGCAGCTACACATTTGTTCAGCGTGTTCTTTGAAGAGAGCGGCCTGGTTTCATCCGCGGACCTGGTTAGAGTAACTGCCTCGGCGTCCTCTGGCTTATCTCCTTTGGCCAGGAAGGCCGCGAGGGACTCAAAGAAAGCTGGCGGGAGAGCCTGCCCAGCCGCGAGCGCCCAGAAGGCTTCCATGACCACCAGGGGGCCCCGACCTACCGCCCAAGTGCTGCAGGCGAGACCATCGGGCCCAGGGGCCGAATCACACGGTCGACGCAGGATTTTCCTCACCAGGTCAGCATTGGGCGGGGGCGCATCTTTGAAATCGACAGAAGAGGCGAACCGCGCAGCATACAGAGACGCGCCTGCAGCGGGGGCCGACGGGGTCTGAAAAACCGGCGCCCAGAAGGCCGACAGATTCCTGGCCTTGGCCTCTGGAGACGACGCCACTCCAAGGGGTCCCGAGACGGCCCCCAAGACACGCCTGCGGCCCATGGGATCCCACAGCCGAGCCCTCCCGTGCAGGGCGAGGAGACGCTTCGAGGAGGAGGCGGAGGAGAGCCCACGAGCAACCTGCGCACCCTGAGACACTTGTGCGCGGGAGACCTCCGCCCTCGCAGAGGCCAGCTGGGCCTCATTGAAGGCGATGGCAAAAACCTCACTCTGATGTATCAGAACACGGCCCGCGTCGACATGTAGGTGCTCGCGAAGCCACGGATGACGAAGCAGAAGAGCCAGCGCAGCGTGCTCATCTTGCCTGCTGACCGCCCGCGACGCGGATCGCCAGACCATCGCTCTCCCCGGACGAACACGAGCCAGGAGCGAATCACGCGCAGCACACCCTGCAGCCCGTCGCGCACGTACTGCCAGCCTCGTGAGAGTGTCCGTGGGCCAGTCGTACTCGTCCAACTTGGCCGCTTTCTCAAAGGCCTGCACCATCTCGGCATAGACGGGGTCGCGAGTGATGAAGCCAGCGATCGGCTTGACTCGCGCACGTTCACCATCTGAACGACAGGACCAACGCAGAGACAAAGGCGCGTGATCACTGATTTCGCGACGATCCAGTTCTTCGGGTTCGGCTGCCAAAGCGACCGGCTGCCAGAAACGAATCGCAATCGAAGTCGGCGTGGAGAGGAAGATGCGATCGATGCGGGACGATACTTGATTCGGTCGGTGCCAGTGCGTAGGTCTGGCAACATCATATTCTGCCATCCGCTTCCAAACCTTTCGCCACGCTGCCTCATGCCGACGCTGCGCCTGCGATGAGCCAACCTCAAACCGTCGAGACGATGCAGGGGCGGGTGTGCCCGAGACAGGCCCCTCGATGTCCCCGCCGGAAATGTTGAAGTCGCCCGTGACACAGACGGAGTAGCGATGAGGATCAGACAGCGCACGCGATAACTGTCTGTGGGCCTCGTCACTGATGACTTTCATCTCCTCAGAAGTGACGCCGTGATTGTGAACATTCCAGTGGC